TTAACAATGGCTGTCTCTGGAGTGAGCCAAACAATATATGTCTTAACTTCTTCACTGTGCTTTTCTTTATTGTTCAGTTTTTCTATAGGGACTTACAAATGACTAATAAGCCTCATTAAATACAGCCTTTGCTCTTTGTAACTCCATTCTAAATACTTGTCATAAACAAGCTTGTAAACATTCTCTCACAGAAGTTCATGACTTTCTGATTTTTGCATTTCTAGCACCTAGTAGAATGTTTGGTACACAATATGAGATGTGTGCTCCATAAATGTGTATAAAATGAATATATATAACAGCTAACATTTATCTGATACTTGCTTTCAAGAAGCATTTTACAGTTATCATCCCATTTAATCCTCACAATTTTGTAATGTAGCTACTACTATCCACACATTAGAGATGAGGAAATTTAGGCACAGAGTTTAAGCAGCTTTCCCAAAGCCAAACAGCTCAGTGGTGATCCAGGATTCAAATTCAGATCCATTAACTTTCAATATTGGTTTCTTTCCAACATGCTATGTAAGATATAAAACATTACATTTAAGTATTAAGTGAAAAACTGTATTTATCATGCACACATTTATAATCCTTCTGACCTCATTAGAAGCATAAACGTGTAAGAATATTTCTGTGCCTGGGATCCAGTAGGTGAAACATACAGGTAAGCTTGAAAAGAAAACAGTGACATGGTGGTACATTTACAGAAATGATCATTCCTTAGAAATTCCTCCCTCCTTTTAGACTTACATTACACAATGAACACCTTGTTTAAAATTACATATATATGTATATGTATGCATATATGTGTATGTACATATGTGTGTGCATATATAGGTATACATATGAATGATAGCACATATCCATTACAGATTAATAACTATTTTCACTAACATTTACCAGATGGCATACTATGGTGGAATTTTTTTTTTTTTTTTTTTTGGTATGGGGCATTGAACCTGGGTCCTTGCGCTTGCGCAGCAGGCAGCGAAACCACTGAACTAAATCCCTGGCCCCAGATGGCATATTATGAACTGCTAGATAGTATCTAGACTACAAACATTTTTAACACAATCCACAGTAAGAAATACATTTTACATCATTCTCTAGTTCATGACCAAATTCAATGTAAAACTGAAACAAATTATTCACTATGTTAACATCTATTCCCTTAAAAAAAAAAAAAAACCCTGCTTATCCCAGTAAGCTGCCTTTACTGTTTAAGTATCATTGCTAAACACTTTACATTGATTGTAAACCTTGCAATAACCCTTAGAGGTATTATCTTCGTTTACACACAGGGAAACAGAGGCTCGAAAAGCTAACACCTTATCCAAGGTACAAAAACTAACAGGGTAGGAGAGAGAAGAAAATTTATACCAGGCAGTCTCGATACAATATTCATATCATAAAAAAAGAGTTACACTGTATAGGGCCTAATATAGCTTGATCCACAAAGTCAGAAAAACAGCATACCTAGTAAATTAATATTTACTGAATACTTAAGTGCCAGGAACTATGTTAAGTGTTTCCACACACATGATTCTTATTTAAACCTTATAACAACCCTGTGTGGTTTGTGGTATTTCCTTTTTATGGATCAGAATACTGAAACCCAAAGAAGTAAAGCAGCTTTGCCAGGGTCAATCAGAAAATGGTGGAAAACCTAAGATTCAAATCCAAGTTTTGCCTTCAAATGTAGACTCACTCTCTAAAATACATGTCCTGCATAAGTAAAAGTAATTTCCATTTTTTTAAAAATGTAATTGTCGGGCCGGGGATTTAGCTCAGTGGTTTCGATGCCTGCTGC